TCTGGGATGTATTTGGTTTCAGTCGGACTTAGCAATGTTCATCATGAAGGGTGAATTAAAAGCAATGGTACATTGCGGCTGGCTCCATAGCTCAGGGGTTAGAGCACTGGTCTTGTAAAAGCAATGGCACAGGGCATAGTAGGCTAAGCCCCCATCTGCAGCACCAGCATCCCATATGGGTGCCAGTTTGTGTCCTGGCTGCCCTACTTCCGATCCAGCTCTCTGCTGTGGCCAGGGAAAGCAGTAGAAGATGGCCCAAGTCTTGGGCCCCTGCACCCATGTGGGAGACTGGGAAGAAGCTCCTGGCTCCTGGCTTCGGATCGGCCCAGCTCCGGCTGTTGTGGCCATTTAGGGAGTGAAACCATGGATGAAAGATTCTCTCTCTCTTTCTGCCTCTGCCTCTCTGTAACTCTACCTTTCAAATAAATAAATAAATCTTTAAAAAATATATGTAACTCTGATTCATTAAAATATAGGGCCGGTGCTGCGGCTCACTAGGCTAATCCTCCGCCTGTGGTGCTGGCACCCCGGGTTCTAGTCCCGGTCGGGGCGTCAGATTCTGTCCCGGTTGCTCCTCTTCCAGGCCAGCTCTCTGCTATGGCCCAGGAGTGCAGTGGAGGATGGCCCAAGTGCATGGGCTCTGCACGTGCATGGAGACCAGGATAAGCACCTGGCTCCTGGCTTCGGATCAGCGTGGTGCGTCTGCCGCAGCGGCCATTGGAGGGTGAACCAAAGGTAAAGGAAGACCTTTCTCTCTGTCTCTCCATCTTTCTCACTCTCTAACTCTGCCTGTCAAAAAAAAAAAAACAAGTCAAAGTGCTTTCAACATCTCGGTGGGTCACATGCACATCAGGTGGCGTCACTGCTATATGGATTCCTGATCTAGACGGTGGAGAAGGGCAAGGAGAACAAGTCGGACAAACCAAGCAGCTTATGGTGTAATAAACATAATAAGTTAGTGCATTTGTGAAAGATGACTTACGTCATCCAAAAAAAATCATTTCACTTTTATTTCATATATAAGTTTTCCAACCTTTTCAAAAGTAATCAAGTATGTTCCCCCTTATCCACCAAATAGAAGCTTACTACACCCATCGAGGTTCATTGAGTAAAAAGCACTCAGAGTCAAATTATAGAGATGCTATAGTTACTTCCAGTTCCGCAACTGCTAAAGCCTTGCCAGGAATATGCAGGCCTCTGTGGGAGTCCTGTAACCAGGCAAACAGACATTGCTATGACATTGTCCCTTGGAACAAAATAAGGCCCCAAGGTCTTCAGGGAGCTGAGGCCACTTTGGACTTCAGATGAAACTGCAGTCTAAAAAAGTCAACCACGAGGTATACCAGAGGCTACCACTCACAGACGCACCCACAAATATAAACACTTGGCTTCCATCGTCAGCATTCTAAGTATGTAATTTACTCCTCTGCTGGGATGTCTCCTCTATCTTTTGACAGAAGAGTGTTACTCCAAGGTTAAATATTTATTTTGGAAAGCCAGGTTGACTAATTTTAACACCGTAAACAACTAAAAAGAAAAGAAGGCAGCCCAAGAGGTGGAAAGCTGTGTGTCTTCTCACACGTGCCTGGATCATTGCTGAGCAAACACCAGCAAGTGTGTAAGCTTTAGGAGCAGTTACAATAGAGTGAAGGTGCTTTGATGAACCCACTTGAACAAATACCGCCAAAGCCATTGTATTGGGATTGTAAGCCTAGGTGAAAATACTGCCGGTAGGGAAAAAAAAAAGACACTGCACAGCTGGGGTTTTCATTCTCTTTTGAAGCAAGACCCTACGACTTCCCAAGCGCTGCTGGCCTAGCGCAAAGTCCTGGGCTGAGAATCAAGAAACGCGACTTCTAATAGCACATCTCACATTATTTACCAGGCATACTTGAAGAAAGCCAAAGAATAATGGAATTACAGCCTGGAAAGAAACTGCAGAGTTCCTCTCACCCCATCGCTTCATTTTACAGCAGCTGACGTGGGGCTGAAACCCATCTGTGCTTTGGTTCTTCCAGCCTGTGCGGTCTGATCACTTCCCCCTGCCTCCATCACAGAACTGGGCTGAGGATCGATGAGGAAGGAGGTTTGAGAGCGTCTCCTCACTACGCCCTCTTTCTTCCCTGGATTCCTGTGCTACTTATTTTATTCTTGTTGTTTTCTCTTTTTTGTTTTGTATTATAATTGCCTCACCTTGTTGTACTAATTTGCCTACCTGTTGGTCTTACTTGTTATCCTACATTTGCCTACCTGTTGGTCCTTAAAGGCAAGAACACACACTATTTGTTGGGTGTATAGCAACAACTGGAATTCACTGTGTGGTTGTTGTGCACCAGGTACCAGGCCACTGTGTAGAACAGTCCTCAGAGGTCGGCAGTGTTAAGCTGACCAAGGAAGTTGAGGCCCAAAGGTTCAGCTGCTGCCTAACAACACTGTAAGGAGTGGAGTAGGGACCAGACTCAAACTTCTCTGACACAAAAGGCCTTATTTTTCTAGGCAAACATGCTTGATTAGGTTAAAAGTGATTTGTTTATTTACCTGAAATGTTAGACAGGAGTAGGCATTGTGGCACAGGAGGGTAAGCTGCTGCGTGGGGTGTCTGCGTTTCTTATCAGAGCGCAAGTTCTGACTGCTTGGCTTCTGATCCAACTTCCTACTGATGCATTCTGGAGGCAGTAGAAGATGGCTCAAGTGTTTGGGGGCCTACCACCCACGTGGGAGACCCAAACAGAGTTCTGAGCCCCTAGCTTTGTACTGACACAGCCCTGACCATTGGCAGCCATTTTGGGAATGAATCAGCAGATTGAAGATCTCTTTCTCCCTCTCTCTCTCTTTCAAATAGAAAAAAAAAAAAAAAACCATTAAAAATACATTTGCATTATTGTTTTTTAAAAATGTTAGGCATAATTAGGACAACCATTGTATTTCCCCCAGGGACCCAGGAGATGTGTGTAGGAAAAAATTAGAAGAGGTAATGGAAGAAAGAGCCTTTTGATATTATTGAAGCCAAGTGGGAGAGAACTGGAAACCATCGCACGGCTCATACTCCAAGGTACTGCACAGCTAATTTCACTCCACTTTACCTTCTACCCCTTCCCTCTCCTAGTTACTACGTTCTTAGGCTCCCCTCTCCCTAGCCAAGTGTAGCGTGAATTTCAAGTGTCAGATCCCCTCAATCTGATCACAGTGCCATGGGCTACCACAGCACTGGCTCTCAGGACTTAACTCCGTAATGAGTGGAAAGCTACAAGCCACGCCCTCAGGGAGCACTTGAACCCTGCTCTCTGCAGCGTCTGCACTTTCATGGGGCACCTGCCACCAAGGATACCTGGCATTAAACACAGCTGCAATTTTCACTGGCAAATCCTCCAGGAAGAGACTGTGTTTGAGCCGTTCTTGGCTGTTTCCTCTGATTTTTAACTCTTTTTTAGCTGCTATCTTCACATTATACCTTGTTAGAAAAGGCAGGGTCCACTTTAAGAAAAACTCCAAAGAACAACTATTCTGAGAAGGGGAAATAGGAGCCACCTGTGCTTTTAACCCATTCATTACTTATTGATTGTCTAGCGTGCACAAAGCTTTGTTCGGTGAGCTTTATGTTTTTTCCAGTTCAGATTTCCAAACAGACTGGGCAAGAGCTAAAACCTCACCTGGGCAACTAAGTCTGGATTTTCCTACACTCTCCTCTTCCCACTTGCTGTGTTCTTTCTCTCCTCCTCCAAGTCTTACATAAACACTGATCATCTTTTTAATCTGTCAGGCAAAAAAGCAATTAAAAATTTTCGAGTAATAATATAAATTCACATATGATCCAAGCCTACCGTTAAAGGATGAGTTTTCCAAAGAGAACTAATATTAATCTTTTATACAATCTTTTTTAAAGCATCAAAAATTGTATATTTTGTGTGAATATTTTTGGCACTTTTCAGTTTGGATCTCACCTCCAACCATTACGCACTGATTCAGCCATAAAAAAAGTCTTTCAACCTATTGATCAAAGTCAGGGCGCTGGATTGGCACATCTACCTCCCACGCCCCATAACAAAAGAAAAATAAGCAAACAAAACATGGATTGCCAGAGTTCTTGGCTTTCCAGCGGTTTGAGGTTTTTTTTTCCTCCAAAGTCACTATTAGTTAGAATTATCCTAAAAATAGGAAACAGTTGGTGTCAATTAGTGATTACATATGACAAACTAAATAAGGATTCCATCTTATTGACATTAAGTAAATTGGGTAAAAGAGAGGGGAAAACCACTACTAATTGCACTGTTAAAAATGACCACTCAGTATGTTAGTGTACTTCCTCCCAACTTTTTTTCCTTCATTCCTTTGTTTACTTAATATTAATTATGAATATTCCTCCATGAATAAAATTCTTCTGAGATAGTCACACAACAGTCTAGTTCTAGTTGGTCAGTGACGTACTGATCATTCTCCTAGTTACTATTAGATGCTTAGGTTGTTTGCAGTTGTTCACTACTTCAAATGAGAGATGAATATCCTATATGTACATTTTCCCAAAATTTAAACTATTTCACTGGCAACTGCTTATCTTACACAGTACACAAAAATCAATTCAAAATGGTTTAGGGACTTAACTATAAGATCTGAAACCTTCAAACTCGAAGAAAACACTGGGGAAAAGCTGCATGGCACAGGTCTTAGCAGTGATTTCCTGGGAGTGTTACCAAAAGCACAGGAAACACAAGTAAAAACAGACTAGCGGGACCATCTCAAATTTAAAAATACTGCTGTGTAGCAAAATAAAAAATAAAAAATACAGATTGGGAGAACATATTTACAAACGATGCATCTAACAAATAAGGAACTTTTATAATTCAGTAGCAAAAACCCACATAATTAAGAAATGGACAATGGAACCAACTGGGCATTTCCTTAGACAACATATAAATGGCCAATACATCTATGAAAAGTGCTCAACTGGTCATCAGAGAATGTGAGTTAAAAATGACAGTGCAACAGCCCCTCTCTCCTGTTAGATGGCTATTATCAAAACAAATTAAAAACAAAAACAAAAAGTAGCAAGTGTTGGTGACAGGTGGATAAGAGGCACGCCTTGTGCACTGTTGGTGGGAATGTAAACTCTACAGCCGGCATGGGAGGTGGTATGGAAGTTCCTCAGAAAACTCAGAATAGAGCCACCTGTGATCCAACAATCCCTTCTGAACACACATCTAAAGGAATTGAGATCAGGATACTGGCGAGCTATTTCTAATCTCCAGTTCATTGAAACACTATTCATGCAAGCCAAAATGTGGAAGCAACCTGAATGTCTATTTACACACGAATAAATAAAATGTGGTGTATGCATACGGTGAAATACTGTTCAGCCTTTAAAAGAAGAAAGTCCTGCCATTTGCATTGGCGTGGATGAACCTGGAGGGCATTATGCTAAGTGAAATGAATCAGAGACAGAAGGACAGACACTACATGGCAGCACTTTCATGAGGAAACTAAGATAATTGAACTCAGAAAGACAGAGTAGAATGGCGATTGCCCAGGGCTAGAGTAGGGGGAAATAGGGAGGCATTAGTCAAAGGGTGCAAAGTTTCATGTACCCTCATTGGTGGAGATGTAAATATTGGAAGAATATGCAAAATGAGTAAGTCGGAGATCTATAGTATAGCATTGTGTCTGTAGTCAGAATACTCTGTTATAGCCTTAAAAATTTGCTAAGAAGGTAGATCTTAAGTGATTCTCTCTCTCTGTTTCTCACAGACACACACACACATCACAATGATAAGGTAGGAAACATTTGGGGGTAATGGATATGGTGTGGTTGTGGCATTGATTGTGGTGATGACTTTACAGGTGTATACATCTTTCCAAACTCATCAACGTGTATATAGCACACATGTACAGTTTTTTAAATGTCAATGACACCTTAATATAATAGTTTTAAAATAATTTAATTGGGATGCCGTCTTATATACAATTACTATATCAAATGCTTTTGAGATACATTTCCATATTGTTTTCCCAAAGAATTGTACCAGCCTGCAATCCCAAGAGAAAAAAGCCGGTGTTGCCACAAATACACCCGTCAAATGTGTATTCAGTTCTTGTATCTGCATTGCTGATCCATGAGGAAGGATCACTGGCACACTCCTGAGCTCCCACGACTCTTGTCGCAGGCTTGTCGTCTAAATATTTACCTTAGCCCATTTTTGTGTCCTGGAAACTTAATTTGCTACACAAAACATTTCCAAATAGCCTAACAAACATTTCCTGTGTACCTACTATGTGCAAAGAACTGTGCCTAGTGTTACGGAAAATACAGCCCTTGCCCTCCAAATACCTTATAGGCCAGGTAAGATGATTCCATGGCCTCACTTCCCACTCGTGTGCAGTAGTTGCACAGCTAATACAAAGCAGGAAGCAGCAAGTGCCAAAGAAGAGGCACAAAGAATTTCAAGAGAGGACACAACAGAAGGAAGCATTTGAGGAGATGGGGCTATCTAGCATCCATTGCTTTGGGCTTTGTCCATTTTGTATTAGGAAGAATAAAGTGCTGGAGATAAAGGCCTTAAGAACCTGTCAGAGAAACAGGACTTCCTTGAGAAACTTTGGATTTTTCTTTAAAGTATTGAATATGAGGGAAAGAAGCACTTATGTTCCGCCTTGTTTCCATTGGCGTACTCCCCATGGCGTTTTGAGCAGAACAGATAAACATATTAACGCTCTGCTTTGCAAATGCCGTTGCTCCCTATCTGTTTTAATGTCTCTTTCCCTAAGCTTAATAGAAATGAACTTGATTCTTGAGGTGGAGCCAAGCAAAAGGAAAGGCTGAGACTTGGGCCTACAGAGCCCCGTTGTGTGTGTTCATGAGGGCTCTTCAAGAATCCCATGGAAAAATCTGTGTTCTGGGATATATACACATGGATTTCAAAAGTTTTCCCAACACTGTAACCTTATCTTTTATTTCCGTTTTTCCATGGACTTTTTCCCACTTATTTTTAAGGGAAAAAGCAGAGCTCCAGAGAGAGGAAGAGACAGATCTTCCATCCCCTGGTTCACTCTCCCAAATGGCTGTAATAGGCAAATCTAGGCCAGGCTGAAGCCAGGAGAAGCCAGGAGCCAAGAACTTCCCCCTGGTCTCCTGCAAGGATGGTGGGGGCCCCAGGGCTAGGGCCATCATTCACCGCCTTCGCAGGCTCGTCAGCAGGAAGCCAGCTGCTGCTCTACTGTGGGATGCCGGTGTCACAGCAGACTTAACCTCCAGCACCCGCCAGCCCCTCCATGAACTTGTCAAGTATCCTTGTAAATGAGACAAAAACCAAAAACCAAAACAAAAGTAACTGCTGGCCACATGCTGGTATTTGAAATTACTTTTAAATTATTGAAAATTAAATTAAATGTAGTTGTTGAGTCGCATTACTCATATTTGAACTCCTCAGTAATCCTCGTAGCTGGCGGCGACTGCACAAGATAGAGCCTGCGCAGAATATCCATTCTGTCACTGCAGAAATTCTGTGGGACCCTGATGCTCTGGTATTAGGAATCAATACACGCTCACGCAAATCACTAAGTAGTAACACAGGCTCATGCAGATTGGTTGTGCAGCTGGCCAGGAGTCGGAGACTTTATAATCCTGCATGCAAGTTCCAGTCTTCTACAAATGAGGGAGAAGGAAGTGCTTCTCCTGTCTTCTAGGAATAATTAGCACCAGCTGTTCTTTCAACACCAACTGTTTGCAGAACATTTCTGTAAAAGGTAATCTAGAATAAAGGCAACGAATAAGGAAATCCTGAGCATGAAGTTGGCTAAGGCTGTAAAGGTTTTCTGGTTTGGATGCAAGGACCACAGATACCACGTCCCAGTTTGTACTGGTTTTCTCGGCTTAGTTACGAACAGTTCTCCCTTTCCTTCTCCCAGTTTCCTGGTTTGGGTGATAACTCATAGGCTCACCCCCTTAACGGTCACATTTTCTGTTTTCTCATCCTTTGTAGATAGGCAAAAAATAAAAGCCTCCTTAATGCTGGTTTCCTACAGCCAATTTTTCCCAAGCCACATTTGGGTGTGTGTGTTCACAGTCCATGAAATTGTTCCCTACACAAGGAGGGCCAGGGTTTTATACAGATTCTTACTCTTTTGGTTTTCTCTTCCTTAAGGATAAACAATCAGAGGCAATATTGATTGTGTATAGAAATATATGAGTGACTTTGGGAGATATAAACTACATCAAGTGCTAGTATTATTTATGGTATCAGCTTCCATGAGTTAGAGGAAGAAAAAGAGGCCTGGCATGGAAAGAAATGCAGAAGTAGAAATATCTTGGGGAAAGAGCTGACCTGAGAGGCAGAACACATGAGCCCCTCGCTAGTTTAGACTTTATATTAACATCAGTTTCCCATTTTATGTCTTGGGCTTGTAGAGATGTCAGCTTGCTTGCTTGCTTTCTCTCTTTCTCTCTTTCTCTCTTTCTTTTCTTTTTAAAGAATTATTTATTTATTTGAAAGTCAGAGTTACACGGAGAGAGAAGGAGAGGCAGAGAGAGAGAGAGGTCTTTCATCTGCTGGTTCACTCCCCAATTGGCCGCAAGGGCAGGAGCTGGGCCGATCTGAAGCCAGGAGCCAGGAGCTTCTTCCAGGTCTCCCATGTGGATGCAGGGGCCGAAACACTTGGGCCATCTTCTACTGCTTTCCCAGGCCACAGCAGAGAGCTGGATCAGAAGTGGAGCAGCCAGGTCTCAAACCCATACACATATGGGATGCCGACACTGCAGGTGGCAGCTTTAACCTCTATGCCACAGCGCCAGCCCCCTAGAGGGGTGTAAAGCATTCTCGACTTGAGCCAGTTTCAGTATCTGTACTTGCCTTATGTACTCCTCAGATGTACCACTTTCCATTTCAGTACCCAGATTTTGTGTGTGCTCTCTGTTCCTTCTATAGAGTTCAGTGTGCCACTTCCTCCTAGAAGTCTCTCTGATTCTCTGAATCAGGTCAATGTCCTCGTGATGCATCTACTTCCCCCTTCCTAGCACTGAGCTTTCATTTCTTACTTCCTTGTCCAAATTGAGACTTTAAGTTCTACGGAAATTGAAGCCATTTCTATTTTATCCATGTTATATCCCTAGCCCTGGGAGAGAAGCCATATATTGAAGCTCAGTTAACATTTGTGGAATCAATGAAGGAGCAAGCCCGTGTGTGTAACCTCTGTCTCGAAGGATACAGAGCCAAATATCTGATTCCTGTGCCCAAGGAGCGTGGAGGTAAGGCCAAGCTATGTCCGGAAGGCAAAACCAGTTCCACGAAAGAGACACACAGCATCTGTGGGAATTCAGAGGGAAAGAACAGCACATCAGAGATAAGACCTCTTGAAAGAGGGTGTCATTAGGGGCTGGCGCCATGGCTCACTAGGTTAATCCTCTGTCTGTGGCGCTGGCATCCCATAGGGGCGCCGGGTTCTAATCCCGGTTGCTCCTCTTCCAGGCCAGCTCTCTGCTGTGGCCTGGGAGGGGAGTGGAGGATGGCTCAAGTGCTTGGGCCCTGCACCAGCATGGGAGACCAGGAGAAGCACCTGGCTCCTGGCTTTGGATCGGCATAGCTCCGGCCGTAGCAGCCATTTAGGGGGTGAACCAATGGAAGGAAGACCTTTCTCTCTGTCTCTTTCTCTCACTGTCTAACTCTATCTGTCAAATAAATAAATAAAAAAAGAAAGAGGGTGTCGTTGAGACAGGCCTTAAAGGAAGTCCAGAATTTCAGCAGGCAGAGACCATAAACCTGCAACGAACATTCAATTCATTGTCAGACTAGTGTAGCTGTCCCTGTGTGTCTGTGGATTCTTCATCTGTGAATTCAGCCAACTGTGGATCAAAAATATTAGGAATCAGGGTGGGCATTTGTTAGGAAGCCTGAAGCTGTCAGCTCAGTGTCTGGGTTCAACACTTGGCTTGGTCTTCTGACTCCAGCTTCCTGATAAGGCAGACCCTGGGAGGCAGTGGTGATGGCTTGAGTCCTCGGGTTCTTGACACCCTCCCAGGGGGCCTCGAGTGAGTCCCCAGATCCCTGTTTTAATGCAGGCTCAGCTCCACCCATTGCAGGCATTTGAGGAGGATAGCCAGTGGGTGGGGCTCTCCTTTTCTTTGTCTGTCTCTTTACTTCCCAGTGACTTAGGGAAAAGACCCTGCATCCATATTAACTCGCACAGACTTCTATTTTCTTGTCGTGATTTCCTAAACTCTAACAATTTCTTCCCTAGCATTCACGTTGTATTGGGTATTAAAAGCAACCTCAAAATGGTTTAAAGTCTATGGAAGGATGTGCTATGTTGCATGCAAACACCGTGCCATTTTATATCACCATTTGAGTGTCCACACACTGGGACATCCATGAGGAGTCCTAGAACTGATTTCCAACCCACCCCTTCCACTGCCAAAACCCAGGGCTACCTGTGTGTATAAGAGGTTGTTTTAGGGACTCAATACTTGGGCCAGTGACCTAAATGGGATGCATGTAGGGGAACGGACCGCTATGGCATAAGGCAAAATGTGTGTGTGCTGAAGTCCCCAATGTAGACAGAGTGCTGGGGGAGCTGAGAGGAGGAGGCTGGAGGATAGAAACAGAGAGGGCAGGGAGTCACTGTCTGGGTGTCTTTTCCACCAGGGTGGAGGACATTCAGTCTCCACAGCTGCAGATTTTAATGAACTTCTTGGAACTTGCCTTTGTTTCTCTTGTTGCTTGGTAACTCTCGGTGTGGCTCATGAGATGGTCACCGCTGGGAACAATTTTTTTTTTTAAAGGTTAAATTTTAATCTTTAAATTTACACACAGACCACACATGCAACACTTTCCTCTGAGCAGTGTGCAGTGACCTTGGACTTGTTAGAAGTATTTAACTGAAATTTTACGTTTATGCTTGCTGTGTCTGCAGGGGTTAATCCTGGACCCTTGGGTGACTCCGAGGGACATTTCGAGCTGGTTTCTTCCAAAGGGAGCGCTGGCTGATTAGAGGGAACTTCAGGTGCGATCTATTTATTCCCCCTCTCCCTCTGGGACTCCCACTTTGGGGATTCCAGCCTGCACTGCTCCCCAGAGCCCCGAGGAGTGTGTGCCAAATGGCGCGCCTCCCCCAGCTGGCTGCTCCACCCCTCGGGATCCTCAGAGTTGCTCAGCACCAGCCTGAGTAGAGATTTAAGGGAGAGAGAAGAAGGTTTTTGTCTTCAATTAACCTGAAGCTGGGACCTGGATTCAAACTCCCGCCATGGACGCAAATGCATCATATGTGTATGTGAGGGTCCGAGGGGGCTTGGGGCATCAATCTCAAGTGCAACTGCTGACCTCACAAACGTAAGGGTTCCCCAAGTCAGCAGCATCATTAGTTGCACTTAGATCATGATCTCTAAGACAGACCACTGGAGGAGATAACGCCAGCACTACTCAGCAGCTTCTAAAATATCTGCGGTTACATCAAGACCCATATACTTGTGGGTTCTGTGGTTTATGGAGTTTTCCCCCAAAATATTTCAGGAAACATGGGAGAAAATTGATAGCGAGCTTATTTTTTCTTGGGAGAAGGATATTCGGGGGGAGAAGGAGCGTTGATAAATTACCTGTTGATCTGTGACTACAGAATAATGCAATGATGAAATCAACTCTAAACGCCCAACTCCATGTCATCCTTATCAAGTTTACAGATACCAGGTGGTATAGACACAGGACGGTCACGCACCTGTGTGCTAATCACTTTGGAATCTCTCCCTATGTTATAGTAAAGTGTCCACTTTGCAGATGAAGCGTGTTGCAAAATCTAAATGCACTCATGGTTTAGAGCAGGAATGAGGCTATAGATACACACTAAAGCCCCCCAAAGCATTCATTTTCTTAGTTTAAGCACAGCTGATGCAAGTCAAAAGTACTTCCATTTCTGATGTCCCTGAATGTAATCAAAGCATCCAAAGTCAATTACGCTGAGCAAATGATTTCTAAGTTGTAAACTACATGAAAATCTGTGGGAAAAACATATTACCCATCAAAAAAAAAAACTGCAACTTTATGGCTAGTTAATGGGAGTGTTTGGTTTTTATTAATAATAATTCAAAACAGATATACCAAATTCCAAAAGAGGATGGGAAAGAAGAAATAATCACGCTCTCGGAGGGAATTCACAAAAGACACACTCATATGATGGCATATAAATATCTTATGGAGCTATATTTTATAAGCTGAACTCTTACTGCCAGAAATGGAAAGTTAAGATTCTGGTTGCTGTTGACTCTAAGCCACAAAACAATTAATGACCAGGTTCCACGCCCTTCCCCTGCACTGACTCCCACAGAAATCCCTCACAAGTTTACAGGCAAGTTTGGGCGAGGGCAGATTCTGGTCAGAAACAGCTGTGCCCTGCTACCGGGCTGCTTGCCTCGCTCAGTCTGTGTGCATCCCGGTGGGTTTCTGGAAGACTCGTCTCTGGGGATTGCCAGTGATATTCCAGGAAAGAAACAGGAGTTGAAAGTGGGGAGGGAAGCATACGGCTGGCTACCTGCTGCTTACAGGAAAGTGCTCATGAAGCCTAGCCTGCTGGCTGCATATTGCACACATCTGAATAACCCTGCTTCTGAGCGGTCTCCTTATTATAGCCAGAGAGAAAGCCAGAGAAGTTAGAAGACAGGTGCACAGCCAAGAACTCAGACACTGCTGAGGCCATTACCTTCTTCTTCTGGACTGGAAGAGGAGCAACCGAGACAGAATCTGGTGCCCCTACTGGGACTAGAACCAGGGGTGCTGGCACCATAGGCGGAAGATTAGCCAAGTGAGCCGCAGTGCCGGCCACCATTACCTTCTAAATCATTCTAGGACTAAGAAGGCACAGGCATTCCTTCTGCTGGGCAAACAATCCTTTTGCTTCTTCATATTTCTTTCATTATCTACATCCTTAGACTTTCCATCCCCTGTTCCCACCGCATCTGGGTTCTCATGTTGTCGACATTTTTTTTTCTGCATTTTTTCCGAACATCTGGAGAGCATGCCTTTTGGCAGGCCCAAGTCAGCCCCGTTTCGCACGAGAGGTCCTGCGAAGAATGGAGAGAATGCCTGATTTCAATTCCCAGCCGTTGAAAGACACTGCTGGGCATCTTAAAGTGCTTTTGGCTGAGCTCAGGACATAGTTGGATGGAGCAGAGCTGGGAGAGTTCCAACTGGGTATAATTAGAGTCCTGGAGTCACAAAGACAGATTTTTTGCTTTGTTCTGTTCTGAATCCCCCTCGGCACTGTGTTTTCCCCTGAGGTCTGAACCTCAGTGAGGCTCCGTGGATGTAGAATAAACTTGACAGTGACACGCAACCTCCTTCCCCGATCCCGTTGGCCCACAGGGGCCATGTTGCTTCTGGTTCATCCTTAGTCGTACTAATAGGGATCAGGGATCTTGAGAAATTACAACATCAAAAAAAGTTCTTAAGAATTCTCAAGGGAAAATTATTAAGTGTAAAGTTCCAGGCTCAAATCCTTCTCCTTCCCAAAGCTTTCCAATTAAAATGGTCTCTCTTGGCCCTGAGTTCCTATACTCTGCACTGATATGCGCTCAAACGTTCTGAACTGTTCACTTGGTCGTTGTACCGTTGATGTCTCCTCCAGTGAAATCTGGGTTGTTGAAGCATGGAGGCTTTGTTTTAGCTTTCTCTTTACATCCCAGTAACACTTGCTTCCACAGGCCCACACTAGATGCTCGTGAATAATTAATGATGGTCCTTCCTCCCTCCTCTTTTGTAAGTCCCATCAGATTAAATTGATTCCCTCAACAGTTTGCACTCTTGGGTCCAACTAGCAAACTGTTTTTGTGGTTCTGGCTGTTAGCAGCACGAGACTGACTGCAGTGAAGTCGGACGGGTGTTGCCTGGGAAAAGAGTCTTAGCCAGAGACAGTCGACTTGCTCTTGCCACGCCAGCTCTTCCACCCGGCAACAGCCTCAGAGGAAGAGGACAGAACCTGTTTTCCAACTGCAGTGCCATTGAAAACCAAACAGAATGCATGCTAAGCTCCGATAAAAGTTGGGATTAAGACTTCGAGAATGATGCTCTTTCTATGTCGTCTGACTGTCCTGGAGAATGTTCCCATTTGCAAATTGAAATCTGGTCAAGAAACTCCAGCTGTGATGAATTCTGGACAGACAGGTCTTGGGTCAAGTTTGTCTGAAGTGTGCCTCACACACTCACTCTTCCATTCCCACCCCAAATTCCATTGCTTTCTCCACCGTGAATCGGCCAGTTCTCCATTATCATTTTGGACTTACAATCTACTATAAACAAATGTGGCTTGATAACTCTGTCCCGAGAGGAGGAACCCCTTTCAGGAAGTACATAAACAGAGAGTTGATGCATGCAAATACATTTTTAATGACAGAAACTAAAGCATTAGCCCAATCTGGATGAAAAATAGCATATCTATTTTTTATTTGAAGGTAGGCAACTCGTGACAGTGAGTACTAATGGGGCCAACTCTGATTGTAGTAAATGTTTCTTGTAGGTCTCAGTGGAGAAATATTGCTGTCTAAATCACTTAGGCTTGTATTATTTTAAAAGGGAGAGGCCACCTCACCCAGCTGTCTGATGATCCAATATCACGGGATGGGAACAGCTGAAGGTCGCCAATGAATCTTAGTCCTGGGACTGTGGTAACGCTTTCACTTTGAAGGGCCAGGTTTGCCTGGAAAGGGAAAGCAACTCCTTTAATAAAAGTAAATGCAGCACTCCCAAGCCTTTGTCCAGATGGAGCCCAGCAGCTCACCCAGTGCCTCTGTTCCTCCCTCGTCACCTTCTGCTTAAAGCTCTTCTGTTTTGATTCTTCCTGCCAACCTTTACTGACCCCCTCATTGAACTCTTTGCCCTTTAATTTTGGCCAAAGTGTGTTTTCCCCTTTGCACAGCTAAGACAGATGGGGACTTTCAGAGAACTTTTTCTACATACCCGGGGAAAAGAGAAAGAAGCAAAAAGAACATAAAATATATTAGTACACAAAAACTCTCTGACATGTAAATACTATTTTATGATTTTTTTAAAGATTTATTTATTTATTTGAAAGTCGGAGTTACACACAGAGAGAAGGAGAGGCAGAGAGAGAGAGAGAGAGAGAGAGAGAGAGAGAGATCTTCTATTCACTGGTTCATTCCTCAAATGGCTGCAACAGCTGGAGCTGTGCCAATCTGAAGCCAGGAGTGAGGAGCTTCCTCTGGGTCTCCCACACAGGTGCAGAGGCCCAAGGACTTGGGCGGTCCTTTACTGCTTTCCCAGGCCATAGCAGAGAGCTGGATTGGAAGTGGAGCAGCCGGGTCTCAAACCGCGCCCATATGGGATGCCAGCGCTCCAGGCCAGGGTGTTAATCCGCTGTGCCACAGTGTCGGCCCCCTATTTTATGATTTTATATATGCTGCTGTGCACTCGGGGTTTATAGATTTTCGTCTTATTTTATGCTCTGAGCTGGTTTCCCCCAGCCCTTAGTGGCTGATACAAATGTATGGTTTTTCCACCTGAGTTCTTATTTCCAAAGCTCTTGCTGAGCTTCCTAGGGAGGGAATCATCCGAACACCCCAAGTCTCCTAGACATCTTGGCTCCATTCCCTTTAAGATCAAGAGAGGCAGCTTCCCGTGCAGTCGCCAGGGCCTCCCCTGCCCCTGCTCAGCCAGAACCAGTAAGATCGCCTTCTGTATTCTGGCTGGAGAAGCATAGATTTTAACCAAGAGATTGATGCCATTAATGACCCTGCTTTTTAGGTGTGATTTCCATAATCCTACAGCCCGGAAGCTGCCTTCATCCTGTTGAGGTTCAGTGATATAAAATGCCAGAACTGATGAATTAACATGACGTTTGCATGTCCATATGGTGACAGTGCAGAGGAGAGGGCCATCTCAAGGGCTGCACCTTCCCCCATAAAACTCAGCATCAGACACCCAGCATCCCGCAGATTAACCCGGGAACAACATAGGCTTTGCTTTCCCAGAGCTCATTTGTGGCGTATGTCATTAGGTTGC